TAAGCATTTTATGTATAGTTCATACTGCCAATCTTGATTGTTTCTATTAATTATTTAGAGCAAAATCTTTTAAAGTATTAATGACCTCTCTTAGGTGAAGCTAAGAATACTCCCTTTCCCCCCAATTCTCTCCTAGATATTCCTAGATCACCTGCACATCGCTCAACCGCTGGCAGAACTACTGAAGATTCTAAACTTACTGACTGGCTGAGAGAAAATGGAGCTGATGATGACACTATAAGTCAGGTAGAGAAAACTGTGGGACAAGCATTATGTCACTTCATTTCATAATGTTAAGTGTCCACTATATATAGGCTAGGCACAGGGGATACACTGGTGAGCAACTCAGACCCCGCGCTGCCCTCCTAAGGTTTATAGACTAGGTTACGCAGACAATAATCAAATAACTCCACAGATAAAAGTATAATGATGCTCTGGTAAGTTCTGTGAAAGAAAGGTTATCAGATGTTATGAGACAGAGGGAGGGAGAGGTTGGAGAAGGTGCTTTGAGAAGGTGGTGAGTATGTAGGAATAAACTGGACCATAAATATGTATGTATTGGGTGGACAGACAAGAAGGGGAAATCATTCAAGTGTAGAATATGCAAACAATCATCTTTGTGGTCCAGGACTCCTAAGGAATTTTATATTTTTTAAATGAAAAGTGTAGAAATCAGAACTAAAATAATTCTCTCTTTTGTGTATTAACTTTTTAATTCTCTTGTGACATTATTAAACTCCACTGGGCATTGGCTCTTTATGTAATAAAATAGATCTATTTAGTGAACTTACATCAGGAACACTTCCTGTATAAGCCATATTATATCTATAATAACCTAATTCTTCTCTGCTCCTTATGGACTTTGTAATCAGCATGAATAGCATTTGTTTATGTTTAAGACTACATATATGTATACACATATTCACACAATAAGAGGTTATATTTTTATTATTTTATAGAAAGGGTCTCTTAATACAGTATTACATTGATTTCAGTTTTATATTTAAATCTTAAAAATAACTATGAATAAAGATGTCTTTTCTTTTGACTTGATAATTTATGTCCATAAATGTAGGGTCTCCTTAGAAATCTGCATTTAACAACTTACACTACATACATTTAAACAACTCTCTTGCCTATGGAAAGTATGCATAGGCAAGAGAGTTGTTTGCATAGGCAAGAACTTGAACGCATGCAATCAAGTGCTCCAAAATATCCCTCTTACTGAGACTCAAATCTCAATTAAGGATAGCAACTGATAATCCTCTAAATCATTGCCCCCTTTTTTTAGAATTAAAATTAAAAGCTTCAGTTTAAATTCAGGACTCTGATTTTCTAATAATTATTTGAAAGTACCTTTTATGAGACATGAAAAGTATTAAGTGTAAGCACTACTTTTTCTGGAACACTTCTTATCTACTTGAGAAAAATAAAGCTACCCAGCAGCAAACCTCTTAAAGACAACCATTATCTTATGAGCAGCAGATGTAATTAGACGTCCATTTAGAAATTCTGTGTTGCTTATACTCTTCCTGCATTTGGAAGTCATGGATGTATCTCTTTGTAATTATTTTGTCATAGGGGGGAACTTTCTACTAATAATTCCAGAAGGTTATATTTTTAGTGGATTTGCTTTTAAATTCATTTTTAATTATTGCCAATGTTTACATTATGGATAGAGTTTGCTATTAAAGGTGTATAAAACATCTAATGTTTATGCATATATTACTTTATCCACAGTTTTTGGCTGAGGATTATTCACTAGTGGATGTTCTCTACTATGTTACACGTGATGACTTAAAATGCCTGAGACTAAGGTATCACTTTTCTTTCTGTTCAGTTGTCATGATGGCAAGAGTCCTGGGCTGAGATCAGGAAGTCTGGGTCCCTGCAATCCTGGGCCGACCACTCTGGTTCTCAGTTGCTCTGAGTAAACTGAGTTGGTTGGACCAGACTATTATTAGAAGCTTAATAACCAATATTTCCATATTAGTAAATGCAAATCAACTGGAAGAATATTTTTGATAATGTATCAGACCAAGACCATGCAGTTATTCTAAAGCTGCCTTAAACAAATCCCTCAATTTTGTTCATGATTGTACCATACTTGGAAATATTAGGATGGGGTGCTGATTTGCCATCTAAATACCTGGTATAATCTGATATAGTTTCCTGTAATAATTGTGTTTTTTTTTAATCTGGCCAAGCATATGCATAATTTTCTCACACCGGCCCATCTTTGTCTAACAAAGACATTTTAAAAATGCTAAAAACTTTTTGCTTTGGGACCTGGTAGATTGTGGGAGTGGAGAGGAAAGGCATGGAGGGATGATGAGAAAATATATACAAAAAGAACACATAATGACTAAGAAGACTTTGGGATCTTCATGTTCTGATCAGAGCAGTTTGAAAGCTAAGCAGTCACTTTTCTTTTACAAGGGCAATGTTTGAATGAACTGTTCCCTTCCCCATGTTCTTGTGTCTTTAAACAGGGGAGGGATGCTCTGCACACTGTGGAAGGCCATCACTGACTTTCGGGACAAGCAGAGAGACAAACAGACTTGACTGTCACTCCTTTGTCTCCAACCTCCCTGGAGATTCTAACAACACAGAACTGATCTTCGAAGGAGGGAGAATCCCAGGGAGAGGAGAAAGAAGCTGCACTTTAAACCCAGTATTTGTTTACTCGTGTTAAAAAAAAAATAGACAAAGTACACTGAAATTTCCTAAATGCTTCTATTTCTATAATTCATAGGGACTTTTTGTAAGGACTCTCACTAGGATGTTTAGGATTATTTTACTCTGAACATTTTGATGGAAATATTTTGAACTCAGCAGCTACTGACTAGACTTCAGCCAAATGTTTATTTCACACAAAACGGATGTAACATTTCATGTGATTGTGCATCACTGGAACAAAACCAAAATGTGACCACAACTTTTTAGGTTTATGTGTGTTTGTAATATGCTCTAGTAATCTGAGTAGAAATGCATAATTTCAATTGTTGCATAAAGTTTATGGTGTTTTTTTTTAATATGCAGAATCTGAGCAATGGTTTATACTTATCTGTGTTAATTGTAATATTGATATATTTTGTAACTTAAGTTTCTGGCCTATAGTACATTGGTTTGAGTCATTTTTGTTACTACTGAACTGTACCAGTTGCACATGCCTGAATCATAGTAAAGTTAGCTTGTTCTAAAGCTATCCATTGTCTCATATTTACTTTAAAAAGTAAAAAAGACTATCAACATACTGTTTTGATAAATTCTAAATAGTTCTCATTTTGTTTAGCCAAACTACTGTGTTAAATTTCTAGTTGTTTCTTCAGCTATAACATTAAATAGAATCTGTCTTCTACTCAAGTAATCGAAGAAAACTGATCTCCAAGTTCTTCCTCATGGCAACAGAGTGGTTCAGAAAGACATAAAAGAAAAAAGAAAATTAAAGAAAGTCACTGTATTTTTCTCAAAGCCCTGAGTTATCTTGAATGACTATTGTGTATCTCAAGGGGCCTACAAACAGCATCTCAGTGGAGAACACTGCCTTTTCTATCTCTTTAATTTCTCATATTGAGGGAAATATTTTATTGTAAGCTGAATATTATATTTTATAAGCCTGCCTGTATTAAAAGGATGAAGTCTGAAGCTCTTCGATGGATCAATGAGATAAACAAATTTCTTGAATACAGAGGAAACTGTTTAGTATGCAAGATAAAAATAATACAGAACTGTTCGCTTGGCCCATATGTAACAGTCTTTGATAAAACAGGAGTCATTTTTATGTCTTTTTTTTTTTTGCTGCAAAAAGCTTTATTGTTTCATTTGGTTCAATGCATGGGAGAGGGCTTCAGGGTGGTTAAAAGAATGACTAGTAGTTTCAGGGAGAAGCTCAGGCAAAAGGCAGACACCAGGGGAACGCAGAGGGGCCCCTCAAAGGCCTCTGGGCTCCAAAGGCTCCTAGTCATGTTTGAGGGTAAGCCCAGCCCAGCCTGGGGGCTGGCCAGGTGTAGCCCATCTTCTTGGTAAGTTTCACCTCCTCACCCAGGAAGTGGTTCTCAAGGAAGTCACAGAGGTGAGAGTCTGCGGGCAGAACCCAGGGCCTGCAGCTCCACAAGGGCCTGGTTCAGGTTCCTCTCTAAGGCCAGGGCAGCTCCCATGAGTTTGGCCCACTCATCTTGGGGAGGCTTCAGCAGGTCCTGGAGGAGAATGCGGACACCATGCTGGTTTTGCAACTTTAAGGGACGTTCAGCACCCTCGGCTTCTCCGCCAACTCGTGGAAGAAGTGGCCCATGCCCTTGAGAGCCACATCGTTGGTGGAAATAGAAGCCCAGAGAGAGGTAGGTGTGGGAGGCCCGCAGATGCAGGTTGGCCCCGCGGTTGAACGCAGCCTCCACCTCGGTGGAATAATTCTGACGAATTTGGGAGCTCATGGTTGTTCGGCAATAAGGAGTTAAGGTAGAAAAACAAACAAACAGTGTGTTGGCTGGTCCCGGAAGTGGTTCTGAAGGTGGTGACTAGATAAGATGCAGGAGAGTGGCCGGAGGCTGGGAGAAGGGGTGTCCCTGCATCTGTTCCAGCCAAACACTGTTGAAGCAAGAGACAGATCTGGGACTGCAGAGGGCACTGCCAAGTCATCTTTATTTCTATGTGAAAATCCA